AGCTCATTGTACTGAAGCCCGCCCCGCCAAAATCTAAAGATAAGACAAATCGCATTAGGAAATCACCACACCTAATATGGTGTCATATGTAAATACTGACAATTTCTCTTCAAACTTAACACTGCATTTTGATTGGTTTATTGAATGCGAAAGTGATAATTATAAAAAATAGAGAAAAAATGCCACTACACAATTAAATGTAGATCGAAATAACAAATCCAGTTCCCTTGAAGACGCTCTACATTCCATTGGTAAAATGTGGGTAAAATATAAGAAAACAACCTTTTTTACCATATAGAAATACCTTTTCTAACGTGATACATATTCCGTGAAATTGACGATCTTGTACAGAGTAGGTCCGTATCATCCGCCACCCATTAGGCGCAGACATTGGACATATGAATGTCTATTGAAGTTTTCCCACATGTCGTTTGATAGTTTAACATCTCAATACAGTTTAAAATATCAAATGTCAAAATTCATGAAGTGATCATGAAATTAATAAAGTCAAGGGTCAAAATAGAAAATTAATGTTCTGTAAAAGGTGAATTGAACTATCTGCCGTGACAGGCCCATTGTGGTGATGCGACGGGAGATTTTCCACGGCAATAACAAAAAAATACAAAATTTCATGCCGAGGTTTAGTTTACATTTCATACGACACGGTAGTGTTCAACTCTCCCAAATGGTCTTTCCTTTAGTATCTCACAATCTTAGAATGTATTTATTGTTGTTGAACCGAAAAATTTGGAATCCTATTTCAAAGGAATGGTCTCCGTCCCCATGGATATTTCTCCTTTCTGATGAGGCTGGTACTGATAATGACGTTATGTCCAGCTGTTTTGGACCAGCGTGAAGCAGGACAGTAAACAGTCAGTGAAATCAACACGGTCCTACCACAATACTATCATGTCTCACCTGAAAGGCGCCTGATGAACCTGATTGAATTGTTGATTAATTCCCATAAAGTCACACCTGTAAATTCGGGTATGCAATTTGTCGATATCATTGTTAGCCATTTGCCGTTTTAATTTAAATTTTTGTGACCTATACCCCTCTAGCCAGGTGATTTCCACCTCAGTAAACCTCACATGCTTCGAATTAACTTTCGATTTCTTCTAGCGATCATGAGGTGAGAAAATTCTAAAATGTCTCTTCCGAACTTAACTTATTGCAACAAGATATTTTGTTTTCATAACAAAAAAATTAAAAACAAGCCACGCTTAAAACTACATCGTTAATTTTATTAATTTGTCATGGTAAAATCTGTTTTTTGTTTTTTACTTATATCAACACATAAACAAAGTAAACATCATCCTGCTACAGCTATTTCAGCCTTCTAGAACTTCAAACGACACTTCATTCCGGCTTTTTATGAAGTAATTCAATCCGCTTTGTGTGTGCATACTTTTACCACACATGCCTTTTTATACAATAAGTTATTCATGTCTAAGCTAAGATAAAAATGAATCGTGAAACATTTCTTAGGTAAAAGAATTTCATGAATTACATAACATTTGAAAACAAATTTAATTATCCTCTTTTTTAAATGTTATTAATTATTCAGTTAAGTACTGTAGAAAACGGATATTTCCAAGCCAAACTGAAAGTCATTTCGGCTTTATATCCATTGTCTCTATTGTTACGTCACAATGCAATCTGTGAATGTGTGACGTCATTTCATTGTCTAAAACTGATGGCGCAATAAGTTATATTACTGAAATGTAATACGCAAATACACTGCTTAAGGATATGTGTTAAATGACAAAGCATTCGTTTGATAAAATGTCCATATTTGAATTAAAGTATTTCTTTTGAAATTATCATAAATCGAAAAAGGATACAGTTCAATGAGACGGCCTACTGAGAATTTCGACCCTAGAAGAACGAAACAGCTGTTTAAGATAAAGATGACTTTAGTATGTGTCTCTACTGTATCTAATTCTAAATTTTGAATTGAAGCGTGCTACACAATATTGTTTTTTTTGTACGATTTTATTTATCGTATTAAGATCCAATAGACACTTGATCATATTGTCGTTATTCTATGTACACTTATAAGATGATGCATCATGTTCATATTATAATATTACATCATGGTGTCATTATAAATACATTTATAAAAACAGCGTGTGTGGGATATTAAACTTACAAGGGAAAGTTTGTCATTCCTATCAAAACCTTACAAAAGTTTTTACTTATAACTTGAAACATTTCGATGATTTCAATATTATTTTGGTGCAATGGAGCAAACAGACGTCATGAATATAGTATTGAATGGATGTATGTCATTTATTAAATTGAAATAACAATTTCGCACTCACTGATTGGCTAAGATAAATTATAAATCTATAACAGAGTCCTGCTAAGCCAGACTATGAGGCCTTACGATAGACAGTGTCCCGCTGTGTATCTGACAGAGTGTTTCCGCGTCAAATACCTTAATCTCATCGATCCCTGTCCTTAATAACCCAGAAAAGGTAAAATTATGAAAACGTAGCGTGAAGGTGTGTCACATATTACATTTTAAATACAGATCTAACCTCACAAGTTGATTGTATGTTATATCACATTTAGCTTTACTTGTTTAAACATTATCTCCGTATATTACTTATAGTTTTACTTGTTTAAAACAGTAACTCTGTTGACAAGTCCGCGCGCCTATGATTCATAGTTGTTGCAATTTGAATGAGCATGAATTCCATCTTGCTTGAAAGCAATGTAACACAAACACATACTAAATTTAGGCCCTAAACAACATTGACGAGTCCTAGAAGGACGGATGACAGCAATCCTTGAAACATATCGATGTAACTGCGGCGTCTACTTCTATCTACCCATCAGCATTAGACGAAGTTACTACAATTCAAATCTGGTAAATGTTTGTAGATGGGATAGAAAATGTAACTGGTGAGGAAATGTAATTAGTTCTTAATGAAGTGGATAAGTTTTAGAATTTACAAACAATGATTGTTGGTAACACTACTGGAAATTAACAAGAAAATATCAACATGTCAATATAATCATAATCCAAACTCAAATTCAATAAAACTAGGACAAAATATGAACAAAACAAAGATTTACAATTAGACTCCTGGAAAAGTACCGGTAGATTTACGGCCATGTGTTGTGGAAGAGTAAGCGTCTTCTGCTTCATCGATGACCCCCAACCAGGTTAACCTAGGTAAATCTGAGTTAGTAATGTTTCACCCGAAAAAATACAAACATTTGAAAACTATTGATCATTCTATCTGACTGATAAATACATCGATGAATTTTTATCGTATATGTCACTTGTGCCAATCAAAAATCGACTGAGATGTCATGATATAGAAAGTGACGTTACGTCATGAATTGAAAATGGCACAACAACAATGTCTGCCTCCGTTTGATTTTATCCATCGCCTTCTGAATGTAAAATGTGTTGATAAAAATGTTTTGAGTTAAAAAGTACTTTAGGTTATATTTTCTTCTTTTCATACTGAAATTTTATGAATCTCATTTGTAAGTTTTCATATTTAGTCGCCGAGGATCGCAAAACTTTCTAAAAAATTCTCAGGATCGTTTTATAAAGTCTAAAACGTTATAAAACTTTGTTAGGGTCCTATATATGTTACATGGTTATGACGTGGCAGTATATTTGTAAATAAGGTGAACTTCATGTTTGACTACAGAAGCTTGAACTGGGAACGTTTTGTTTTTTTCCACTGAATAAATTGGCAAAACAAAACAGTAGGAGACCCAAAGACTTAAGCGTAATTTTCAGCAATGGTTAAAGGATGTTCTGATCATGTTTTCATTTTGACTATTCAAAGATGAGTAATACTCGAAAATATTGCATGTACATAAAAAAAATGGTTTGTCAACGAAACATCAAACAGGTAAATGTTTACTTGACGGCTCAAAAACTACACAAGAAAACACCAAATACTAAACAACGCACGGATTCATGTCACCGCTAATACGCGACCACAATAACAGATATTTCAGGCATGTTATGATTTTTAAGTTGAGAGCGAACACAGAAAACCATCCACCTTATTGCGACTCTAGTCACGAGACCTTCTGATAGATACATGGATTAAGATTTGTATGTACATCACCAGCCTTAACAAATATAAAAACATACTCGGAATATCTAGTGGTCATGCATTATGCATAGTGATGTGAACATTGCAGTTTAAATCAACACCTATTTTTCTCCCTGGTGTTTTTGCAGTGTTAAACACTTTCAAACTCATGCGCCCCGAAATAACAGGTGTTTTTATTCAAGGAATGTAGACTATTTGTTATACGACTGTGATGCTGTTTTGATGCTTTGTCATGCTCTAAGAAATAGTGTATTTGTATAGTTTTCAGTGTTTACCAGAGATTTCCACTATGCTTGTAGAATGCAGACCCAGCCCACCACCTTTACCACTAGTATGTTATGACTAAATAATTCTTTTATGAATAAATTTAGTGATATTGTTGCAGTAAGGACTAAGATTTCTGCCACCATATAACATTTAACAGAACAAAGACAATAGTAATTAATCAGAATGGATCAATATTATATAGTTCGAAAATAAAACCCAACTTAATTAGCTTCTAATGTGCTTGAAAGGACGCAACTAAGCTTATGTTCACGAACTTCCTCAACGCCGACGCCAGTGGAAATTACGTTTGTTCTGATTGTGCAAAATTGGTTTACATATGTACATTGCATATTAACGATGTTTTACAAACAGTACGGTTACGACAATGATATTTCTAGTTCTATGGACGAAGAGAACATATTACCGACATCAAGAATACTGTTTCGTAAGGTTTCCAGATAATACAGTGTGTTGGTTTATGTTGAGTTTTAAGAGGAAATGAAACTGAATTGGAGACATACAATTCTCTTATTTATGGACCCTCCTGCAAACGAAATATCTCTTCGTCGGTATTATAATAAGTCTTGTCAGGAAAACACGTTCTTTTACTAATTTTTGATTTTATTCTATTTTATTTTACAGAAGGATCTGACTGTGATTCAGAACCAGGCCTCTCAGTGAAGCGAAAGCAGAGACGCAGTAGAACTACTTTCACGGCGGAACAATTGGACGAATTAGAGAGAGCGTTCGAACGCACCCATTACCCGGATATCTACACACGGGAAGAACTTGCGCAAAGAACAAAATTAACGGAAGCTCGTGTACAGGTGTGGTTCAGCAACCGGAGGGCAAGATTTAGAAAACAAATGGGTAGTAACCAAATCACAGCACTTAATAGTTTCCTACAGGTACCACAAGGTGTAGCTAATTCCTCGTACGTTTTCCACGAGCCGACAGGATACTCGCTGCCCTCAGGAACAGGTAAGCCACCAGGTAATATCATTTGATTGCCTTTTTTATATTCATTATGTATATCACATATTTTCATAATTACAGTATATTTAAAAAATAATGATCTGGAATATTGAAACTGGTGTTGTCAAGGGTTTTGGGTTAGCTTTGGTCAAGAAAAACTAGCGAAATTCACCGACTTCATGTTTTTTTTTCTAAATGCTTTCCAATATTGATTTACACCATAGTATATGTTGTTTATACATTATTTTATATTAGAAATTAGATAATAACGTATACATACGAATGCGATTTTATTTTCTCATAAATGTTATATTGACGGCATTATAGAATAATTAATTATTCGAAAAAACAACTGTTTTAGAAAGCTAACCATTAGGTACTGAATCTATAATTGACTTCCATCAATGATTATGTTTTCAGAGAGCTTGTTCCATAGACCAACAGTACCCCAATCACTACAGTCCATGAGTCAGCCAATCAAACACGAAAACTCGTACGCTGGAATAATGGACAGCTACCTGTCTCACTCATCACAAGTAAGGTCACAATTCCGTCTCAGTTTTAATAATGATAACTGATTACAAAGCTTTCAAGGCAATAACATCGACGTCGTTCTTGCTTGACATAATCACCTGTTAGTAAACGTTCCATGTGACATATATGGACAGAATAGAGAAAGATCGACAAAAACAGAAAGGTCAAAAATACAGACTTTTTCCGAAAGGAAGTAAGTAATGTCACGTTCCCAAATGAGAACAAGGTCAACAACAACGACGGAACTATCCGGCATACTAACTAGTATCAAACACGTCCAGCTTCATATTGCACAAAGAAATAGAATATTATCTATCACCTGTTGATGTTTAACACCACCATTTTCCCTGATGAAAGCAATCCTACTTTCTACTTTCCTTCTCAGCTATAGAAAATTGTTGTAAAACATTCTAATATTTAAATATTCGGGGATGAAATTCTGATAAAAAGCATACGAGCACTTTCGTCGTTACTATTTGCGTGCCTTGTCTGGTATCGGAAATGTGAATGGTAATTTTATGATAATGACAAGCTTTTACTAAGTGATGTTTTATTGCATTAGTGTGTTGCTTGTCTTGTCTTTGTCTTCAAATTTTTTGAAAATCTTTCTATAGCTATGCTTTGTCTCTTCAGATGCATTCACTGACTTCGATGGTTAACACAGAAAATACATTTAGCAGCACGTGGGCAGCACCAGTGACGTCATCTACGACTTCATCCATCACGAGTTACCCGCCAACCAATAATCATTATCACTCGCCATACAGTGACGTCAGTAAAACTCCTCTTCATTACCCATCTCATATAACAGGTGAGATAAGTTACCGAAGCACATCAGTATCGTGGTCCCTGGAGACATGATGGAATTACTTCGTCAGCGTCAATTCAATCATTATACTGCTGTCGGATATTTGCTTTTGTGTCAAAGACTGATTTGTTGGAAAATATTCGTTTTAAAAAAGAAAAAAAAACACAAGCCATAGATTTCTGGATAAATCGGTTAAACACTTTACGTAGACAGTACAAGATAAAGAGTAATAAAAAATTCCTGTTTTTGTAAGGTCCAGTCCTGTAAGAATATAAGATATTATCAGTTATACGGAAATTTGGCAGTGTATACGGGTTGTATGATCATCAAGATTATCGTTCTTCTTGAGGCCTGATGGAATCGGGAAATTTAACTAAGTCTACTCTTTCAAAATGTCATATAAGAAATTTACTATGTTTAAAGCCTTTAACTCCAATACATAAATAGTGATATCAAGAAATTGATCTTTCATCCCTCTATAATGAATTTCACATTAAAAAATTCAGTCTTGAAGCATTTTTCAAAATTGAATACCGTAAAGCTAGTAATTTTCCCGGGAAAAAATTTCTCTCAAAAAGAATAATATTTTAACGAATTAATATTTTGTGATTTGGATGTAAAATGACATCGAATACACCCCTGTCTCATTATTTCACGAAATATATTTATGCAATCACATTAATGTAACCCAAAATGGTGTAAATATCAACGAAAATGTATACTTTTGGAAACCTACAAAATTGGAGCCCCATGAAAATATTTTATATGCAGTACTTCAGTTAGACGTCTGCTGAAATGTTTATTAGTATACAATTTTTTACTTGCAGTACCCAATATGACCGATCGATGCTCAATTGATGACAGTCTGGCAGCTCTGCGCATGCGTTCTCGTGAACATTCCGCTGCACTCAGTTTGATGCATGTTGCGGATGCTGGAAAGATGACAGCCACCTTTTGACCTTTGATGCAATAGAAATTAGAATGATATTAACCCAGATATAAACAACAATACGATGTACGTGTTGGCACTGACGGTGTTTGTAGGAATCCGGGTCAACACAGTTTATAGTGAGAGAGACAAGACTTTTCACAAGGACATGTTTGGATATGGACCAAGAGATGAATTGCATTATGAAACACGTTCCTACTGATATTACGAAGAAAGTGTTCATTCTCCAAGGTATGAAGTCGAGTATTTTTAATTGTTTTATTGAAGACACATGTATCCTAGAGCGTGTCGATGTAGTTCTACGATCGATATTTTAACAACAGGCAATGCTGAGTCGAGTTTTTCCATCAGACAATCAACACTCATGTGAATATCCGATGTACAGACACTGTTCTGTGTAATGTGAGCTTGTGTCCCTTTTGAAGCATTGTATTGGTCGACGGAGAAGATCGCGTTGTTGTGTAAACACATGATGATTACATTTAATCTGATGACGTATGTTCATGATTTCGAATCGTGTCATTGTGGACAATCCAATAAGGTTAACAAATTTATATATATGTCGGATCTTTTGTAGAATTTTCTATTCTTTTAGTAATATATAAGGAAATGCATCCCCTCAAAAATCGTTTTTATTCACTACATAAAATGACGCCTTAAACAGCAACAATAAAAATAATTCAAGTATTACGAATGAAATATTTCGCAAATGATGAAAGGAGCATCTGTGTATATAGAAGCAAATTTACAGAACTTGACATCAGTTGGATGCACACAAAGCGCTTGAAACACAACTGCGCTGTAGTTTAGATTTTTGTGTTTATAATACGTTTTAGATGTGTGTGTATGTGTATATGTATTATATATGTACGAGAGTTTTTATCAATGGAATGACATTGTTGACACAAATCATTATTCATTCAAATGTCATACCGTCAACTCATACTTAATAAAGACAATAAATTAACACCCGAGTTGTTCTTATATCATCAAAATAAATCGAATGCAAGTCTTGCAGATTAAGATATAATCCTACTATGTTGTGAAAATTGAGGTGGAGTTCTTAAATCAACAGAATTAGAAAACACATGTCTTGAAAATTAAATTAAGATATAATCCCACTTTGTTGTGAAAATAACAACATCTTGGTGATTACAGACTTTTAATATCATATATGCGACTGAAAACCGCGGTAAATGTCCAAATGATTACATTTACTTACGATAAACTTATTGTATCGCTGATATCAATTTGAACAATGGATTGACATAAAATGTTACAAATTTATTAAAACCTTCTTCCACCATACATCTTACCTTACATGATTGTAAAAGCAATAACATGAAGCAGACACGTGTATATATAACATGTAAATAAAAAATGTATTTACACGAACACAACGTAAAATCTTCTTTCAAAATATATTGCTTGATTTGATATGACGAGGTTTTGCACAACAAAAAGGGAGTTTAGGTCCAACGGGAAATCTGATTTACTAAATAAAAAACTTTTAATTCAACTATATGACTTAGGCGTTCACATTTTGAAGCATACAACGTTTTACCTGGCCAAAAGTTGACATTTAAAGAAAAAGGAAAGACATTCTCACAAGGATATCCATAGTTGCAAGCTAGATCTTCGACAGGATTCACCTGAACAAATGTCATATTTAACGGTAGTGTGTATAATGTTCCCAATTAACATTAAATGCGTCAGATTCTGAACACGATAATTTATTATTACTAGGTATGTAAACTAGTGTACGATTGATCATGGTTACACTACCACAAATAATTTCCATTGACCAATCAAATTATATGTTAGTTTCGAATGAATTAAAATGAAAATTTATATTCTTGCGCGATAAATTACCAAATGAATGTGATATACCCGACAACGTTGGCTTTCCCCGGGTACTCCGGTATGATTCTCACACTTTTTCCTTTAAATAATGCTTTTATATATAGTCTTTCTGGACAAAAACAATATAACTTTTTTATTTGAATAGTTTTGAGTTAAAAAATATACTAATTTACACGAGGAATCCGTTTCCTTCTCTATTCCGGTTTCTCAATTTCTGTATCGTAGTTCTGACCCTTGTTCGCCTTAAACGATTAATGCTATACAATCGTATCTGTGATAATTATTTGATGCATTTATTACATTTTTAAGTACCTTTATCTTTATCTTTATCAAACAAAGCAAATAATACATAAATGTACAACTTTATGTACTTTACAACAGTTGCTAACAAATATTACTCGACTTTTTCCATTAAAATAAGTTTTATCAACTTAATAATAAATATGTCTTTATATATTAAGTTGGATCACAATCCAAACTCAAATTCAACAAAACTGTGCCAAAATAGGAACAGTAGAAAGACTGACCCGCAGAAAAAAGTACAAGGAGAATATGACCAGGTGTCCCGGAAGGGTAAACGTCTTCTGCTTCATGTACGACACCTGCCATGTAAATCTTGGTCAATCAAAGTAAACAATGTTACGTTCTCAAAATGAGAACAAAGTAAAACAACGACGGAAGCAAACTAACTGACAGTAAACAAGTACGACTTTATACCACACAAGAAAATAAATTTTCCGATGACATCATAATGACGACCATAAAACTTCCTCTCAACACTCAACTTAGGTAACCCGTCGTTGAGGAATTCATGGTGGATTCTTATCCTTCCGAAATATCTGGTTTCATTTTACTTGGACTTTTTAAAAATCTCGGTTCATATTTGTCTCATGTTCATATCTTGCTCTCGATTCCTCAATTTTAAGATTGAATTTTGTTTACATGTTGATACCTATTGCTGTTCAAACGAAACTTAGGGATATTTACATACTTAATCTTAAACATCAGGATTTACTATTTTTGAATTCCATTTCTTTACTTGTGATACATGTTTAAGTCTTACCACCAATACCGGGTATGATGATTAAATAGAAATATATGTCTCGCTGTTCTAATTGTAAACCCCAATGTACCGTAAACCAATGTTCCCAATACATATGTCAGTCTTGTCCTCATCCTTACATGCATTTAACATTCGATTGAACCCATAGAAAAGAGCACATTCCCTTACGGGAAATATTAAGTCACGTCCGTGGAATAAAGCAGTTCCGCACTTCCGGTGTATGAGATGTTTCCGCCTTGATTGGATAAGGGCGCAGTTTGCTCCTATGACCAATAGTTCAATAGTTAATTTACATTGATATTCTTATCGACAGGGATTTAAAAAGTACGTGTTGGTTCTTTGCAATTTTTGAGATGACAAGCGTAAAATTCAGTATAAAAATTCCCCAAGTGGCCCTTTTTTATTTGGTGTGTTAATTATGTTATTAGCATGGCGTAGACGACTTTGAATATAATCCCATCGTCCTGCCGTGCGTTCACAAAAGCTGGGCGCCATTTTAGAAATAGAGTGCACTTAGTCGCTCGGTTTCCAATCGGAGTGGTTTACTGGTGGCTTTGTGGGAGAACTGGCTTAATAAATAAATTAATACGTATATTTCAACATGTAAACGTTAGCGGGGACTCACTGGTTGGGTAAACATTTGCCATTCTGTGAACTTACCCAGGAGGGCGTCCCGATAAATGTGGTATAACTGTAGTGTTAAAATAGTATGAATCATTCCTTCACATAGTCATCGAGTATGATATAAATTTAATTATAATAACACGCCTGATAAAGTAATTAAATACACATAATCAAATAAAAAAATATTGATTTTATTAACGTTGTATATGATGATACCATATACGGAGATGCCAGATTCAATTTGAGGTTTTCTCCCTGCCATCAAAATGTCACGAATTTCGTTTATTTGTTTGGTGTTTGTTTGTTGAATTTTTCGCCCTATGAACAGCCAGGACCTCATGTACCGGCGTCTCCTTGCAGCAGTTGTTGGTGACCTCAGAGAACAGCATACGGAAGGCCCGTAGCATGATATCCAGAGCAATTACGGGTCAGTTTCTGAACCGTGCATGTAGACACAAACAGCCATCGATATATCCAACGCCTATTTTGGTAACATACTGTGTTTTCTTGTATCTTAATAATCAGCAATTGGCTGATAATGTTAATAGTCATGTTTGTTTCCAATTTAGGAAGATAAATACTGTTTTATTGTAGTGTATAAAATGGTTATGAAGCAAATATTGTTATGAATCAGATTCAAATCGTGTCGATATTCTCCAAAGTTTTATCACGAACTTAAGTTAACATTTCTTCCTTAGGTGTGGTTCGATGGTCTACTTTCGAATCAAAGGGATTTAATGATAATACACAGGATTTAATGCACCTCTGTGCTGTAAACCCAAAATATGGAAAATATAATTCATGAGCTTTAATTCAATTGATTAAGATCTTAACCAATGGGAAATTGTATAACATAAATTAATTAATTGATTAACTAAGATTTTATGTCGGATGTCGTCAATGAAGCAGAAGGTGACACCCTTTCGGAAAACCGAGGGTTGTTCTTGTACTTCTTTCAGGAGTCTCCGTAAAATCTTTCTTTTGTTCAAATATTGCTTTAATTTCATAGAATGTTATTTATACTTAAGTTCCGTTGAAATGTCGGTATTGTTGTTTTTAATTAATTTGAGCCATGAATTTATAATCTTTCATTTCCGGAATTACAATGCTTACGAACAAGGCATTTGTCCTCAATATGATTTATATTTGAAAGCAACTCCCACGATCCTACGAGTTAACTATGCTTTTAAGAGGATCACGCGAAATGCTTTTATGTACTTTTGTTTGGCTATTGTCTCATTTATCAATTTTTTAATTAAGACACAATAATAAACATATATTACAATCAGGTTACATTGTTGAGAATGTAAGTTGATGACACCCAATCAACGTTTCTTTTAATAATTTCATGTTTTATATATATATATCTTTAGTTTGGTAATTACATAATCACATGACCAAGTTCGATAACCGTTTTTCACGTTTTAAAGTTTCGTTCTTACATAAGAAATAATCTACA